TAAGTATTCAATGGCGCCTCGTGCTAAATGTGGCGTTTTCTCGCTACAACCCGAAAGGTTATTTCTCGCTGGAGGCACCTTTGATCTTGGCGCCCTGCGCGCACTGAATCGCCTCTTGTGTGTGGGCGGGCTTTGCCCTGAGGAAGGGGGAGTAACGCAAGACAAGAGGCGAGCAGCGCCTGTGCTTGACGGGCGCTCAGTGGCGCCTGCAGAAGACCCCCCGCCCTACCGCTTGCGCCTGGCTCCGTTGCCCCAAGAAAAGGACGGCCAAGGACTGGCATCAGCTTCGTTCCGACGGCCGAGTGAATGAGGCCATCCCAACTTGTGCTGACAACCACCGAACTTCTGAGACGGGGTGCCTGACCAGTGTAGCTTTGGCGCAAGGGCGTGGATAGGGGTGGGTTTATGTCACAAAGTGAATAGATAGATGTCACATTCAGCTATGAGGTACTAAACGTTTTCAAATCCTTACCGGCAACTATAAACGTTACAGACATGATACGTACCTACTATCGAATCTTTGTAATATTGCTAAAAAGTGTCTCTAACGGAACGCTATATTATCTTCAATATGGTGACCCATTTCATTTGGCTTTAATGAACTTTCGGTTTTCCCCGTTTCGATTTTTCCCCACTCCAGTTGCCCTGGAGAGGCTGGAATTTATTCAATATCTGGGATACATATTCGCTGCAGTCAGTGAGGCTTTTGCTGATTGGGCGGGCCTATTTTAAAAATATTATCTTACAATCTAATCCTATAAACTAAAACAATGGCCACTTTGAATCTATTCTAGTTTAATATACGGTTTTTAAAGATTAGGTAAGAATTTTTAAAAAATTAATTTCTGCCTGCTCGACATTTTTGTCTTTCAGGGGTGTTCACTATACAAAATTTTACATATTAACTTCTAAGGATGGACCTCCTGGCATGCGTTACCTCCTTTCCCAGAGGTCTGATGATACATTTTAATTAGCCAATGAAAGAAACTGTGGATGACAGTTTTTGTTGTTATTTGTGATAAATTTAAAGGGGGTGTTAGTGGTTGGAATTTGAGGGAAGCGGAAGATGGGTAAATGATTTAATGTGGGCGAAGGGTGTCTTGAGGGAATCGTGATCTAATTATTTTTGATGAACTATACGTTTTATCTTGTTGGAATATTGATGTACTGCGTGATTAGGGAAGGGATGAGACGTATGTATGTGATATAATATTTATATAGTCGTTAATGGATGATATAACTCGGAAGTCATCAAACAAAATGACAGAGTAGCGGAAAGTCGAAATTGCCAACAGCTCTACCACACTAAAGCCTACTGCGGGAGAGCACCTGTTTGTGCACTCTCTGCCCAAATACACTCGACTGAAGAATGCCGAAACGCGACAAAACGAGACTTCAAACCATGATGTGCTAACTGCTACCTTTACCACCGTGCTTTAGAACAAATATGTTCTGACATGATAAACGCCACAGAGATAAGACAAGAACAACTAAATAAACTACAAAAGACTCGGACTCCGCAGTCTCAAGAAGCCCCGGATCTTTCTTCTACTCAATCCTTCCCCTATCTTATCTCCCAACCCTCAACATCCTTTGCCAATGTCACATGAAACCAATCACCACCCCAAGACTCATCAACATCAACAAAGAACGATCTGAAAGACCTCATCACCCCAATCAGTAAACATCAAAAACCTTCTCACCACCATAAGACCCATCATGTACATCCTTAAAGGACCAGAAAAAACCCTCACCAAACTACTCAAAACTACTTCTCACTGTGGCAGTCAAGATATGGAAATTCTTGGGAAAATGTCCCCCTCCTCTCGTCTTCCTAATCCTGAACTCTTGGAACGCGCGCGGCAGTCTCCGCAATAAATACCTATCATATCTCAATGCCTTAAAGAGCACTCCATCTGGGTATTATTCCTCCAAGAGAAATGGCTCAATTCATCTCGATCATTTTCCATTCGTGGATACATCACCTAGCGCATCGACAGGACATTCTCTCAACAGGGAGGCACGGCCAAATTGATACGACAAACCATACCACATTCTCACTTCAACATTCCTTCTACGAAAGGCATCGAACTCACAGCCATCTTAATCAGCACCCATTCTACACCAGTACTCATCGTCTCTGCATATAAAAGACCAAATATTCAAATACCAACATCAGACCTTGATATCATTTGCAACCTACCGTACTAGCAGGAGACTTAAACAGCAAATGTGTAGAATGGGGCTGGAAACGAAATAATGCCAGTAGACTCCGAGTACAAGACTTAGTATACAATGCAGACGTTTTCTTCATAAGTCCTACCAATCCGACGCATCTTGTAAACAACGAACCCCATGACATACTAGACATCATCATTCATTCTCAACGACTATCCACTTCCGTCATGCTTACGATGTTTTTGACTAGTCAGACCACCTACCAATCCTGTTCTCATCAACAATATCATTCTATAGAGACCAGACATGACCGACTCAAATCCCTACCACAGACTGGAAATTATTCAGAAATCTCATTTCAAAGAGAATTCACGTTCCCCAACAGATAGCAACAATTTCTGAAATCGATAAATCCACAGATCACTTAACTTATCAGTCTAAAAAAGCATTCCAAAAATCAACGACATACACGAGACAAGACGATCCAATTCTCCCGAACGATATTCTCATGATCACTCGGACCAAAGCACAGGTACAGAGACGCTCCTACAGATTACGAAGTGACGAAGATAAAAGACTTATCAATAACACACAGCGACAAATTAACGAACAAGTAAGGAAATACGAAAAACACAAATATAATGACCTTATCAATGACACAAGAAGCCCGAGCAATGTTCATAAAATCATCCAAAGCATCCACAACAATCCAACAAAACCCAAACTTTTGACGCTAAAACCGTAGCTACCTCTTTTGCCCAATCACTGGCCGTGCAATTCCAACCTCGAAACACAACTATCTCTGACGACGCTATCTTAACCTACCTAAAACATTCAACTATTCCTTCGACTAACCAACAACCCTGAACATTAGACACAGAAATCAGACAAATCATCTCTTAAAAAGAGAGCCCCCGGTGTCGATGGAATACTCCCAAACCAAATTCATTTAACACAAAACTCTCTCAACTTTCTCACTAAATTTATGAAATCCCGTCTCTCACTATCTTACTTTCCGATCGCTTGGAAGACTACCCGCATAACCATAATCCCTAAACTTGGCAAGGATCATCGGCTACCCATATATTACCGACCTAACAACATTTTCTCTATCCTAGGAAAATGTTGCGAAAAAATCGTTCTTCTCAAACTCACCCCTATACTAAACACAATCATTAAACCTTCACAATTTGATTTCCGGGAGGGTTGATCAGTGGCCTTCCAAACCTTTCAAATGACAATCTCTATCGCAACATCTCTCCAATTTAAACACGAAATTCCCGACATCCTTACTGCTCTCTGATGGATATGACTCAATATCTCACCACATCCTTCACTTTAAACTACAAATTTATTTTCTTGCCCATCTCTTACCATTTTCAACAGCTACCTCACTAACAAAACATTCTTTATCAAATATTTCAGTAACAAATTCCTCTCTTACCCTATCAAAAGGGTGTCTCTTAGGGTGCCGTACTATACCTTCTAGTTTTCTCACTATATCTAAACGACATTCCTACAACAACCGGAGTTAAAAATTCTTTTTTACGCCGTTGACCTTGCCGTCCTTTTCTCCTGTCAAATCCTAAACCATTCCCTCAATAAACTCCAAAACACCCTCCAAAATGTCCTTGTCTGGACTAAACAAACCGTAATAGAAATTAACCCATCCAAATGTCAAGCAATAATATTTTCATGAAAACGCATACCCTCATACCCACATCATCTCTAAATTAATCCCTAACCCATACCTTGGAAACATGAAATTCACTATATTGGTGTCATATTTCAGGAAAAACGTCTTTGATCCTCCCATCTTCAAGAAAAACTCCAAAAAGTTCACCGTCTTGTTAACGTGTTCTACACACTCCTCAACAACATCTCATATCTCTTAAGGAAAAATCTTCATCTACCATACTTACATCCGCTCCATAGGCACATACGCACACATCACCTGGTCCTTAACAACCCTCACCAACTTACTTCTTCCAATCCGACTAAAAAATAGAGTACTAGGAATCATTTTTCGTCCTCAAAGATATAAAATTCAGTGACATCCGTGAAGCTCACCGAATACCACACATCACCTCCTCCATCCACCAATCTGCCCTAAACCAAATCACAAACTTTATAACTGATCTAACCCATCAACATTTCATAAAACCAAACACCAAAATTCTTAACAGAACCCCTCGCTCCTCTTCTTCTAAGAAACACCCCTTAGATATCCTCAAACTCTCACCTCTACCAACAACCAACCACCAACAACCACCTCCACCAACACGACAAAACAATAGACACAGACCTGAATGAACAGAGTAATCAAAATGACTGAAATACCCGGAAAAAACCAGAAGCTCTCACACTAAATTCACCATAAACACACCAAAATACACCATAACCAACCAACCCACCTTCAAAAAAAACCGATCTTTAATTCAAAACTTTTCAGGACAACAATTCAATCAGGACTAACCCACGTGCACCCGTACCAAAATAACCCATCAAAATCTGAAAACACAATAACCCGTTCTGACAACCATCAACGCCCTTGGTCCCCATTCCCGTATGGGGGAATAGGGAGCGCTCAATCAAGTAGAACCAACAACTACAACCTACAGATGCATTCTAAAAGGGTTATGCGTGTCTGACGAACATGCTAAACAAAGAAAAAGGGAAAAGCAAGAAGGCCACAACACGATGGCCGATACGACAGCTCGATCGACTGAGGCGCGGCTCACCCCGGACAGCAAGGATCCTCAAATATATGTAGTTTTCTATTGCCTCTTAAATTGTAGAGAAAGATTAACCCGTTCTGAAATATGTGGCCGTACGCGCAATATCATGAAGTGAGCGGTGTTTGGCAATTTCAATGCGCAGTTGAACCGAACATAAAAGTTCCCTCCTTAGAAGGTAACTGACGATCCTACTGTTACAGGCGCTGGCCATTTTGAGACAGTGAAACGTTTGGTGGAGGCTGGTGCAGATGTGAACCATGCTACGAAGACAAATTCCACTCCAATTCACGTTGCTTGTTACACTGGGAAACTTGAAATAGTGAAGTTTCTTCATGAGCATGGAGCTGACATTCACATTCTGGAGAATCATGGCCATACTTGCGTGATGGCCGCGACTTGTGGGGGACATACAGATGTGTTTTTATATCTCCTGGACATGGGAGCGGATTTGAACCAGAAAATGCTATGTGGTAATACGGCACTACATGTAGCTGCCGAATGTGGAAATGGGAACTTCATGGCTTTGCTCCTGCAGATGGGCGCAGTGCCTACAAAAAATGCAAATGGTATTTATTTGCCCTTTATTTGCTACCTAAGAAATGGTACTATAATCTTCACTTGTTATCGTGAATGTCCTATTTTTTAGGATTAAGTCCATTGCTTGGCACAGGAAGGAGCACCCTTGCATGTATGGTGGAATATTTAATAACGCTGCCTGACTTTTCGAAGGATGACAAAATTCAGGCCCTTGAGCTACTGGGAGCTTCATTTGCTAATGACATGTATTTCTACAATCTGCCCAACGCGTACAAATACATGCGTCTGTCAATGGAATTGAGGTACCCGCTTAAGATCCGTGTGTATGAGGTGGGTGCGGGCGGTGCGATCTCACGGGAGCTGTTCGCTGTCGCAGGTTCAGCGACCCAGAGGCCCCGCTGCCCAAGGTGCTGGGGGAGCCTGTCGCCGCCTACGGGAACTGGGTGGAGTGCCAGAGCCTGGAGGAGCTGGAGCGCATCCAGCACGACGCGGCCGCCTTGCACATGGAGTCGCTGGCCGTCAGAGAGCGCATCCTGGGGCAGCGCCACCCGGAGGTGGCCGACGCCGTGGAGTTCCGCGGGTCGGTGTTCGCGGAGGACGGCAGATTTGACAGAACAGCGGAGCTTTGGTTCCACGCCTTATGCATACGCCAACAAAACAAAGTGTCTGTCTCGAAGGACCTTACGCGTTTTGCACAGGTTTGTCATGAGTCGAAATAGTTTTGATTGGGTAAAACAATATTTGAATGGTTTTTCTTTTGTTTGTCTAGATGTTTTACAAAATGCTCAGTAGAAATATGGATTTGAAGTTCTCACTTGTTAGAGATGTTTTTGCTGCCTGCATTTTGGAACTGGAAAGGAACAAGGAAACTTTGGCTGCCACAAGTTTAAGACTTCATGCGGAATGCTACCTTGTATGTTTTACTTCTATTTCTGAAATTATTAAATCCTTGGATGCTATTGAATGAACTTTTCTATCTGTACTAAAATCTTTCAAGGAGGAATTCCAAAGTAATATAATTGCTGTATTGAATATATTGGTTACTGTAACAAAATTGAGAAGCACTAAAACACCAAGTGAGAAATTAAGTATTTGTCGTCTTGTTAATCAACTAAACAAGATAGAAATACGACTGCAAAATGGCTTGACACTTTTACATTTGTGTGTGAATGAGGACGCAAATGTCGATGAAAATGGCAATGAGCTTGGATTCACGTAAGTAAAAATTTATGTTAGGAATGAAATTTAACTTAAGTATAAAACATTTTAAAATTAAATGATGGTTTTCTGTTTTTAGTTTCCCATGTGCTTCAGCCGCACGTCTCCTTATTGAGTGTGGAGCAGACGTTAACGCAATGGATATTAAGAGGGATACTCCTTTACATATCATCGCAGCACACAGGTGTGTATTAGGAGGTTGAATTTAGGTAAAATACAAAGGTGGATCAAATGTAAACTAACATTAATTTGTATAATTTTACGGGAGCATTACTTGTTACAAAAACTTAGTTTTGTAAATGGTGTACCCTCTCTTTTTCAAGCACACAAAGTGTTGTTCATGGTTGGGAAAAATTATTTCTAACTCATACAATGATGATGGGCAACTAGTAAATGAAGGGAGCAAATATTTTTTAACTTCCAGAACTTTTGTGAGACGATTACGTCTCGAGTTCGAAAGACGACTGAAAAGAAGACAATTGTATGGTGAGAAGGTTGCACTACGCTGTGGGTGATGCAGTACAGATCATTGTAGTTGAACAAATTTTCTTGAATTAGAGACGCGGGATGGAATTTTTGTTTCACTTTCCTTTAACTTGTTCCAAGATCTTTATGCATTTCTTTCGCACTAAGCGACGATTCACATAAATACACGCTCTTTCGATGTTATCTGTGATCTTGTTTTTTGGCGTTGCACATAGCTTCAAATGTAACTTCAAATTAACTTATCCCCATAGCACGTCTCACACAGTTTTTAACTGTTTTTGACGTAAATAAATAAAAATAAAATAAAAACCTTGTATGATCGGCATGTCTTCCTCTTCAATACTGTTTGTCACTGATACGGAGATTTTACTTTCCCATCTTGCGAGTGCAGTCTGTTCGTAAAGTGTATTCATATAATAAGATAGCAGCGTAACGGATAAAACAGAATGTTTCATAATATATTTTACAAACGTTCAGGGGATGTAGAGGTGTCGACAAATGATCACGTTTTGTCTAAACCCATGAGGTGGGAAATTTCATATAGTGACGGTTTTACTCATGTGATTTTTGCCCAGAGAGACAAATCGTTTGTAGTATTTTTGGTATGGAAACGTGTGTGTAATATATATATATATATATATATATATATATATATATATATATATATATATATATATATATTATATGTACGTTTCTACTTCTATGGTATTTGATCTATTTCGTATTAATTCCTTATTTTCTAAAAAAACTCTTTTTTTTGTTTAATCCAAGTTCTCCCTATATTTGCTGGTGAAATCATCTTTGCCGACGCAGCTCATAGTTTGCGATCATGATGCCATCTGACCACAGCGTTTTTGATCCTCTAGCTTACCGTCAAAATATTCAATTCTTTCACAAGTTGGGAAAGAATTGAATGCTTCAGTTTTATTAGTGCAATAATCAACCTTAAAGTAATTAAACTTTAATGTGATATGTTGAAGTTGGGAGTCAATTGGTTCTGTTCACTTGGAGCTCCATGTGTGTTGTAATCATAACGTGATCTCTTCGTCCAATTCGAGGGTTCTCAGAGTTGGCAGTATAATAATTATACTAGCAACTATGAGACATAATAATTATTATACTACCAACTATGAGACATAATAATTATTATACTGCGAACTCTGAAACCCCTCTTTGGGTCATGATAAATGAAGAGAATATAATTAATTTATTGTCTTTATTTTTCATGGTTGGAGTTTGCCCTTTTCTATATCGCTTTGGTTCCATTATATTTTTACTAAGTTTAGTATTAGTGAATTACACTTGCAAACCTCCACTCAATTTCCATTATGATGTTGAGCCACTTCTGAACCAGGTGGTTCTTGGCGAATTGAAGTCTCTGAATACAATCATTGGTTAGCAGGCATGACGTACTAGTTTGTAAGAAATTTGAACTCAACGCATGTAAAATTCTCTGTATGCTACCATTTTATCCCTGGCTACAAGAGATAAGGGTCTGTAGATCCACCTTTCTCAAAATGGCCACTTTATGGAAAAGTGAGGAAAATATATGAATTTCATGATATGGAAAATGAGGAAAACTTATATTCTTAGAATCGTTTGTAACTGGGCAAGTGGAGGCGATAAAAACGTACGTTATTCTGCTAAGCAGATTAGTTCACTCATATTCTTTCCATAATTATTACTAGTTTTAAGCAATTTCTATTAGTTTCTGAAATCAAAGAGATGATAATTAGCTGACAAGAGATACTACTTAAATTTTTTGAATTGTATTGTTTTTGTCTGTCACTCTCACAAAGTGTTATTGCAAGGGAATCTGATTTACCATAGAGAAAATGTATCAAACAATACATGTAGATCCAACTGACTCTAGTCGTGCTTTTATTAATCTGTAAATAGTGTTAAATTGTAGGTGAATTTTAAAAAATAAAAAATTATTGAAAAAGGCAATAAACGGTACTGAAAAGTGGCCACTCTGTGTAAAAAACATTGACATAGCCAGTGGTGGAATTCACCTGTGAAGACTGGCTGCAGGTTTCCGGCCTTCCTTGTTAAACTGTTCAGGTAAATTTGGTGGTAAAATGTTGACTGTGTTCATGACGGTAAAAATTGCCGTCCCATATTAAATTTGCAAGACTGACAGACATAATCCGCAGTAAATCAGATTCTCTTGCATTTGTGAGTTTGACATTCAAAAATCAGGCTGTTTGTATAGCCTAGATGTATTTATCTCTCGAGAGCAATAAGAATTACGTGTCAATGGGTATAGTAGGTTGTAGAAAATATTAACAAAAAGCTAGAACCGCATCTACGCTTTGTTTTATTTGGCAATCATTTCACATACTAAGAATCAATTGAAGGGCTGAACGCAACAATGGTCGAACGCCCTAACAAAGAAAAACTATTTATTTACATCATTCTACGCCAGCGAAGGGGAAGCTTGGAAAATTGTTGGGTAGACCAGTTTTTTCTCATCCTGTTATGATTTGAAATCACAAATGGTTTCTTTACTAATGTTACTACACAATTCTGGAATATCTAGAAATATTGAAGATTTCACTTCAACAGTAGTCTCGGCCACTTAAAAAACAAAAGAAGCCAATAAAAGTTGCAATGTTTCGATTTGATTAAATCATCAATAATTTGAATTGTCGCTATTTTGCCAAATAAATAGTTTTACTCTACAGAAGGACGGAATCAAAATGCTGTATTTTAATTTCTAATTCAATTACTCTGGCTGGCAAGAGATTGAATTTTAAAATAGAAATAATAGTTTTTGCCTACCTTGAAGATTTTTAGTATTGGAACATTGTTATTTTTCAGCATTTGTACCTACAAATTGGTGTACAGTATCTGAATTGTCTATATTATTTTCTAAATACCTAAAATATGATGCAGAGATTGTAAATGTATAGGTCCACTAGGTCCCTCTCTAAAAAAGCGTATAAATGTTCAGGTTGGCTTTTCACCGCATTGCTCTCCTCTTTCCTTCCTAACACTCTCCCTTTTAGTCCCTCATATCATAAAAGGTCATTATATATTCATTTGTTCATTTGCTATTTCAGAAATGGATATGTGGCATCATCTATTATTTCTCTCCTAATAAATGCAGGTGCCCATGTAGATGTAGTAAACGTTTTGGGAGAAACTCCATTTGACATTGCCTATACAGGTTTGTGCAATCTTTTTATTTAAAAGGATCTGTTGAAATAGAATGTAGTTTTAAACTAGTACATCATTGGTTCCAGATCTTGCATTGGATATTCTGCAAAGCCAAATACCTTTGAGCCTCAAGTGTTTGGCTGCAAAGGTTGTAATGGATTATGATATTGCATATGAGAATGAAGTACCCAGAACATTAATTGAGTTTATTGAGTTGCATGGAATGAACATTAAAAGTGAAGTGAAGTTGTAGAAATGAAAGGCTGATTTTTATCTCTAAGGAACACAGATTTTTTAACCTTACGAGCTTAATATTTTTTTCTATATTTTCCACAACAAATTCAGTAATTTTGAGAGTTGTTTGAGCTATTTCATAACTATATGAGCATTTCTGAGTAATTTCTGATAACTTCATTCCTTACATTATTTTATGTGTATCATTTGTGCACTTGTACATTTCAAACATTTTAATTTGTTATATCAATAAAAAAGAATATGTTCTACATTATTGAAGTTTGAAATATTATGAGTAATATGAATTGAGTTGTCATCAGATTATGTTGAACAATACTGACTTATAGAAGTTCCAGCCTATTGTTTCCCTCTTTAAATATTAATTTTACTAGGTTTTCTGTCATAAAAACAGAAGAGAACAATATTGGTATTTACGTACTGCAATTTACGCCTCACTTTAATTTAGGCCCTCTAACTTTCCTCTTCGTTGCTGGAGTGCTCTGAAATATTGGAGGGGTTTGTGGCGAGAAAAGCATGCCAGGCAACACAAAGAAAAATTGCAAATCGATTAAATTTAATTCATGTAATAAATGAGAGATTGACTGATGAAATGATGCGCAAACGATTGGAGATTACACACGATCACAAGAGCTATTGACAACTAATATCGACCTCTTTCGTTGAAAATCGACCATATCATCCGTTGATTGTGGTTGCGAGGGCGACGGCTTCCTGCACTCAGTTAATGCGGCCCCATCTGCTTGCAATTTGCCCCTCGGGATGTGGCCCGGCCAGAGGCACAGGGTGCTTACGTCTTCACGGCCCCGGGAAATCTCGCGCGCGGCGATGGTGTAACGGTTAGCGTAACGGTCAAAATAATGACTTTCTTTAAATTTTTGAACAAACATAAGTATTGAGCAATATGGCGTTTATGTCATCTTATAGAGTAATTTTAGATTTCTAAATTGATTTTCCGCAGCGTTACATAACTTTCCCTATTCTATGTATATTACTCCGCAAACGTACCCTAAAATACGTTCCCGTACGTATACGGGAAAATAGAAAATTAAGTTCGTTGCATAAAAAAATCAGCACATATTACACAGAAAGTCAACATATTTTTTTAAAACGACATACAGATACAACGCATCATTACTATTAAGGATTCTTCCGATCTGTTTCAACATTAACCGTAAAAATATAAAAATAAAATATACATGTTTTTCTTATATTTAGATTCACTGAATTTTTCTCTTAATATCAATTTTTTCTCTAACACAGTTTTATTTTTGTGTGTTTTATAATAAAATTTACAATTAAAGTAAATAATAAATAGACATGATTCAAAAACCAGGCCTTTTGAAAATATATCAGAACACTCGGAAGCGAGTCCAAAAATCTGGACATTTTATGATAAATCAGGAGGTAAAGTAAACCTAATGCGAGGTAGCTTAGACATAAATTTGTCTGCGTATTGTCCAAAGCAAGTAATTGAGAAGTGTTCATGGAATGTGGTGTTTTACAATTAAAATTATGTTTATGAGTTTCATAAAAATACCGCATGTCCTAATTTGATTGAAAATTATTTCATAAATGTTTGAATGTGATTCTTATAAGTTTTGCCTTATCAGGCACAATTCAATTAAATGCAAAAAAGATTGATTGCAACGTGGCAAAATCTAAGCTCTTAAAATGTCAAGTCCACAGATCACAGATGTTACATTATCTTAAAAAATCTTGAGAAAACCGGAAATGCTAGAAAGATACAACAGAAGTGCAACATTCATTTATTTAAAATAGTGTCATACGGCGACTAGCAGTTCTTACTCGTTTTGAAGGCGATAATATTATTATTATTATTATTATTAATAATAATAATAATAATAATAATAATAATAATAATAATAATAAATAATATAATAATAATATAATAGATAGATAAATAATAATAATAAAATAATCAATAATATATAATAATAATAATGTCTTTCTTAATGGCCGAGACTCAGGCCATATGGGCCTGCTCTTCCGCCAACGCAACTGAAATTTACATACATTTTAGAGTAGTAACATTTTTAAGAGGGGAGGACAAGCTTGTAAAAAACAATTTACGTCTGGGAGAACAAAACCTAAGGGACCATCCCGGCATACGCCTTAAGCGATTGAGTAAACCCAGAAAACCTCAATCAGGATGGCAAGCTTTAGGGCCGAACATTAACAGGACCTGAGTATGTTAATACTGAGTAGTGAAGGGAAGTTTCCGTGAAGAGAAAAGAAAAAGACGTACAGGGGAAAGGGGTCACAGAAGTATAAATGATAACAATTTGGTGACGGAAAAGGGGAAGAGAAAAAAAGCGAAGAAAAAAGACGAAGAAAGAAGTAGGCGAAAAAAGTTATTTGAGGAGCGTTACAGAAAGCTACGTTTAGTTTTTACAGTAGCACTTTACATATAATAATAACAATAATGTTTTTACCCCAGAGAAGCACATACACTAATAGCTAATAAAAAGTAATTTTAAACACAATACCTGCGGCAGAAATAAGGCAACAATACAAAGAGTGCGGGTATCCTTAAAAACATCTATTTTTGTTTAATGCCAATATATTGTAGGTGAATATCCTGATGGAATTGGTACAAAGATAGCTACAGTATATTTCATCTGAACGTCACTAATACTTTTGTATATTTTTAGTAAGCAATTTCATTAGGGTAACAGAAAATAATAATGCTCAATAATTTAACGGTGTGAGAGGGAAAATGGAAAGATGAGGATAGAGCAACTGATGCGTTATCGGGGTAAGAAATATTGAGACGTAAAAAGGGGGAAAATAGAGGGTGTTCACGGGGGCGGTTTACCGGGCGCTTGGAAGTGGGGGCAAAGTTCCTGGAGATTGAGAAGAACGTTAACAGCCGTTCTATATGTGTTATTTTCCTTACCCATGTGGTTAATTCAGCTTTTGGGGAATTTTGCGAAAAAGTGTTTAAATGTTTCAGTCTCGCTGGTAATTTAATTCCAGCGCCTTCGGATAGCTGTAATGGTGATGATTTACTGAATGAAGTCGTGTTGTGACGTGGTACCACAAAGCAGTGGCTGATTTCACGAAGCTCGATTTAGTTTTTTTCAGAGGATTGAAGTTACTTATGAGGCGTGTTTGCATTGTGAACCGGTTCAAAAATTAATAAAGAAGAAGTAAAAGAGTGGAGTAACCGTCTTTTGTCTAGAGTAAGCAATACGAATTCTATAAAATAAATTCGGATACAATGGTCGTATTTTCTTAGATCAAAAGATAAAACTGTAAAACGGCATTGCGTTCTGGGCTTACTTGAAGTTTACGTTATGACATTTGAATGTCCATGTGGTCAGAAGAAAAGGTCGCAATGAGTCGAGAATGTGGCATGAAAAAGTGAGTTTGAATGAGAAGTCTCACGTGTGCTACCTTGGAAAAGTGCTTCCGCGAGGCGTTTAGTTGATGTTTGCATTGGATTAGCAAAAACTTTACGCAGGATTTGAATCTACGTGCGAAGTTTTCCAGCTTGACAGAGTAGTTTGTCGATAACTCCACCTAGGTCTTTGGCACTTCCAAGAACACCAAGGTCAAATGGCGCCATTTATATAAATATTAGGCAAGAGGAGAGAAGAAGATTTTAATTCATAAGTGCATTTCGACTGATAACCATGCACTGTGAAATTTGTTGGGTATAATTGTAAAAGCCTAAAGACGCTGCCCAGTTGTTTACGCTATTAATTATTCATGTAATTTTTTTGTTACGAGTGAAACGAGGTTAGAACGGGGTGACCACTTTAGATATCTCTGGAGAATCATCCGCATACATTTGATGACTGCAATATTAGTGCATTTCCACGTCCATCTTACCATAGATTAAGAAGGCGCCAGTGGGCCCTAACACAGTGCCTTGAGCAACTCCGCGGTTAAGCTTCAAGTCCCTTGAGCTACGGCTACCGGCGATCACCTCCGATTTGCGGCTACCCGGATGCTCGTCTGAGAAGGTCGCTGCTTCCTACACCATAAAATCTGACGAGTATACAGGGCGCAATGAGCTTTTGGTGCGTCGACCAAAAAAGAATTCCTGATTTCAACATTACATACAACTAATAATTATACAATAAATTTAGTGACTACTACTAGTGAAGACCAAGAAAGTGTCAGGTAGAGTTAATTAGCAATTAGGCCATCCGGCCTGCTCGCCAATCTTCCACCAATGTCGTCCAATCGTCCACCAATCGTCACACCTGCGCGCGGCGATGGTGTAACGATTAGCGTCGGACTGTTATACCCAAGTTGGCGGGTTCAAACCCGATCAAAGCCGTGGATTTTTAAGGGAGAAAAAATCCTTCGGAAGGGAAGTAAAACCGGCTGTCCCATGTTAGTAGATTTACTTGCATGTAAAAGATCCTCAAGCGTAAATGACGAGGTAAATTCAAAATCGCCTGTTTCTCGCCCAAGAAAAACCTCCTTCTCTGCTTGTTGGGGAAAAGGAGCATAGCGAAATTTGCGTGGTCAGACGGAAGAGCGGGCCTGATGGCCCGAGTCTCGCCACGTAAAATAAGGCAATTCAATTCAATTCAATTCAATTCAATTCAATTCAATTGAATGTTGCACTGATGCTGTGGCGATGACAAGGATTGGGACAAGAGGGAAAAATGGGACAAAAGGACAAACTGGAACAAGTGGATAAAACGAGACAAGACGACAAAGCGGAGCAAAGGAACAAAATGGGATAAGAGGGGACAAAATGGGATGGCGTCGGGGCAAGAAGACATGATGAGCCAAAGAGGACACATGGAACAAGCGGGATATTGACGACATGGGAGAAAAAGGTCAAGTACCAAGTGGGACACATTTATCTAAGGATTTATGAGAAGTGGAAAATCTAAACTCGAGAGTCCGCTAAAATGTTTTTAATGGACTCTCCAGCATTTTAACGGCCGTTGCTAGACGCCCTCTTAACGCCTTGGATAGTTGATTGCTAGGGTGCTAATCGCGTGTTGGCTGACGTAAATAATACAAAAGCTGTTCGAGCTCTATTATGTAAATTTCAAGGTCGTAGAGAAAGTATAGTCTTCCACTCGCACATAATGGTTTTTATTCACTCGTACAAATTAGAACACTTGCTCCTACGTCACTCGTGGCGTAAACATCAACTCGTAAGTAATAGTTATAATTATGCGCTCGTTGAAGAATATACTATTATTTAGTTTGTTCATTTGTTTGCTTCATTTTGTAATATTCTCGTTAAGAGATGTTCGAGTACTGTTTCGTCATAATCAAACACTTATAATAAATTAGGAAATAAATTGGGGTCCGATCTGGAACCGCATTATTCGAACAGATGCATTTCATTTATCATTGACCAATAAGCACATCTGTTCCTGAAAAGCATCCCTGCCAATCCAACTCCAACCCTGAAGGTTTCTTCTAGCTCTGCCGGGAATATTCCCACTAAAATCTTCGGCTGCTGTCGGAGTTCGGCTAAGCACGTAGGTTGGCGGACTGTGTCCACGGCTGCCTGCAAATATAGCCTGGCGCCCATACCCTGGCCTTCCGTTCATTCATTATGTGGCGTGTTTCATTGATGTATATGTTCATTCATTTCATATGTTCATTCATTGATTGTGGCGTGTTTCCAGGACTACGGTCATTAGTTCCGTAAGCGTAGTGTATGTTTTCCTCGTGCGGTAGCTGTGATCATCCCTCGCTGGATGGCGAGATTCGGCGACGACCTACCGTCGGCTTGTGGGGTTTTCGCCTACCAGTTATCTCCCATTAGCGGGGCACAGCTCCAGCCGGAACAAGTTCTAAGCTCTATACTGGTCTTCCTGCATGTGGGGTAGTATACAGTGTAGTGCATGTTAGTGTGTGTGTGTGTGGCTGTAAGGGGGAAGAACATGACAAGGACGAGGAAGGAAAAATCGCGGGCAGCTACCACTTCACACTTCACTCATGTTGTTCTAGGTGGTACAAGTCCTCGGGTGGGCACCTTTGTCTTTTTGCCTTTATACGCACTCCAGCCGACGCAGAAGTACGCCGACAGGCTGATATCTGGATCCCGCGGGGACGCAATTCGCCCTTAAAGCAACTTCTCTATTCGATGCCTGGGTTGGGCCGCCCTGCCAGCTCAGAGCTACCCAGGCTAATTCAGGAATCCAAACAATGCGCTATTCACATGCGCCGTGAACAAGTTCCTCCTCTTTGCCCGGAGTATCGGGCCACACCCATGACGAAGACGAGAGCCCAACAGGGGCCACCCGAACCAAGGTCCGGGTGGCTTGGGTGGCCCGTCTCCTCACCGCCTCCACTTCAGGCTAACGACGTGAGTATCCCCAGAGTCCAAGGCTGCCCGACGGGGGTCCGTGTTCCGCGTATATTCTTCTATTTGTGGGATCAGTAACGTTTTTACGTTGGCCCAATCCAGCCTACGAGCAGGCGCCATTGACCCAACTGGTGGGTTACCGGATAAGCCCAGCAACACGGGACTTAGCTTGTGCCTACACACTACTTCCATCTTGCAGCTATCGATGTGAGTTGCATCGTTAAACTCGGGGTCCGGGTGGTCGTCTACAACTCTCCACTAGAGATCGTGACCATCTACGTGGCCGCGATCTCCCCTGCAAGGAAGATCGCGGGCAGTCTGTGGCCCGTTTGTTAGGGTACTGCTCCGGCATTCATCTCGGGCTGATCGGAAAAACCACAGAAAACTACCGATCAGAGTAGCCGGCTACTAGAATTCTCCTCCAAATAGCGAAGGAATTGGACCAAGCTGGCAAGTCAGTGTCGAAAATCCTCCCATCGTCGGAACTCGAACCTAGGACTTCCCGGTCAGAGGCACATGAGTAACACATTAGTACTACCAGAGGCACTGCAGTGGCATCAGTTGAGCCATGTCACCTGCATCCACCTGGTTGTATGTTCGTGAGGAGGGTACGTCACAATATTGAAGCATTTTTGCCTTCTAGAGACTTATCAAAAGTTTCGTTCATTCTGCGTCTATATGTCGCTTTTCACTCTGCTTCTATATGTCGAAGCCTATTCTAGGATTTTATAAAAAACACCTTCATTGACTCACCACGAAGCGAAACCAACTTATGGGCGTTCATTTTCCCTTACTTTAGAACCATCAGTAAAAATGTACATGGAGGGATTTGTTCACGGGAGCAGATTGTTAATTTATGCATCCATCATATCAGAGTGTAGGATTCGTTGTTCAATTGCTAGATCAATTTTTAGCTTGAAGGACGAAAACCGAAATTTACCTAGATGTTTAAAGTCAAGACATGATATTAGTCTATACGTTTTGAATACCGCCATCTTCAAAAACAAAGAATATTTGATATTTTATGGTGATCTCCAGCGGCTATTTTCACTACTATTCTAAACATGTGTAATCAGAGAAGCACGATTCGGCGCTTTCATGGCAGACTGACTATTTGCGCGTACAATTAATTACATCCGCCATATCGCCGAATTCGAGGGAAATAAAAAATAAATTCCATCTTTCTCCACACGCTACTTTAATGCAGCTAATGAGAATCCGGCAATACACTGACTTTCGATAATGTCTGCGAGGGGAGGTTGAAAATTTTCTGAACTCTGTGGCTCTAGAGTGTATATTCCGTAACTGAATCTGGCCATAATGTTCAATTCAAGCCATAAACCCCGAGGACTGTAAGAAGGATACGTCTCCGGTGGGGGGGTACGTGCTTGATGAAAAGACATGGGTGTGCTGGTCCGACACACCGCGTTTGCACCTTCTGAGCAGTACCAAAAATGTCAGGAACCACGTGCCCACAACACAGGCGTTTCGTTTGAGCAGTGAAGCCAGACACTGGAAGCATTTAAAATTCCCGCTAATATTGCGACGCAAACTGGTGCATCAAACTCATGTGCATAAAAACCGTCGGCCGCTAATCGGACTTACTTAGCTTCAGAGACATCGCGCGGTCAGTGGGAGAACCTTTACGGCATTTTCAGCCAATGTGCGAAATCAACAACCAACATATACTTAAACACACCAAAATGTAGATTGTGTTGGTCAAGAACATATACGTGAGTGGTTAATAGCCAAAAAAATCCAAGATAAGTTCCTTCATTCACCGTGTGATGTCGCTGTCGTGTAGACTAGCCGAAGTTATTCCTACAAACCCCCTCCATGTCTCCAAATCCAGAGTCGTTGTTTTTACAGACGTGCCATAAACCTATGGCAAAGGAATAGTACTTTCCTTATAATACTAGAGTCGAATGAAGTCGTTTACCGTATAAAAATGTCAATATAAGTTAGATGATGATTTTCAGGTGCCTCGGGCCGAGGACGAATGACGGGCGACGGACGAAAAAAGCTGTCGCGTATGACCAGGAACGCGCAATGTTCCACCATATATACTGTGCGTGGCTGCTTCGAAAGCGGGCGGTCCGGAGCCTGACGCGCAGATAGTTTAAGAGTTGGTGACTGCGAGCGCCCCGGGTGACTCCAGCTCCCGCAGGCACTGCAGACACCGGGGGCGCTCGGGGAAGTCCAGAAGGCCCTCTGGCGGGATTGCCCTGCTGGATCACAGACCGATTGGCTAGTGGCGCTGTAGCATTCTCACCCGTAGACTAAGTAGCGTTCGCGAGGCGGCGCAGCCTGTGGTGACGGGGGGCGGAAGGCAGGGCGGCGGCCCCCGCGCCACGGCAACGCGCGATCAGGCGACTTCGACCACCCTTTTACTTCTTTTTTACATTGTAAAAAATGTACTGTGGCAAAAATCGGCGAGTTTTCGTCAGAAAACGAATTTTTTGGGCTCTTGGTATTGGCTAAATGAATAAATCTTGATCCAGGATGTATCTTACTTTATCAAACACATTGTAAACTAAAATTGGTTCACGGGATTGGTCATTGTGGGTACAAAGTTGTGCCAACGTTTCGAAATATTTAATTTCTTCATCAGGGCTAGAGTACAAAAAAAAATAATACCCACTCAAAATTATAATATTTAAAGGAAATCAATGTAATAATAATAATAATAATAATAATAATAATAATAATAATAATAATAATAATAATAATAATAAATATTCACAAAAATATCCATTAACATAACTGAATGAACCAGAAACCTCCATTCCATACTGACTATAAGAAAACAATTACAATCTTTAAGCAGGTCCCAAAAAAAAAATATCAAATCAATCAAAAAGATTCTTAATCAATTCCATGATATAATTATATTAATTAATCTAATTTATTTTGCGTTAATAAATTCACAGAAGGAGGAACTGCCATATTAGATGATCTAAGTAAAAATCATCATAATATCATTCTAGGTATTAAATATATCAGCCCCTTATTAATAATCAATCTACGACTTCCTTATTGCTCATAAACAATATTAGATACAATACATAAATCAGAAGAACACAATCAACCCAGTTATCAAATAACAACCACACAAACCTCAAGAATTTAAAGTCATTAAACCACCTAAAACCATGCCCATACGATCAACCGATGAATAAGCAATTAATGATTTCAAATCAACTTGACATAAACATACTAAACCTATTAAAAAACAACCATAATAATACCAATCCAAACAAAATTATATTTTAAACAAAAAAACACTAATTCTAAAAAATACGCATCAATCCGTAACCACCCAACTTCAATAATCCACCTGCCAACACCTTAAAAACAGAAATAGGGGCCTCAACATGGGCCTTAGGTAATCATAATGAATCATAAACTTAGGTATTTTAACAAAAAATGCAGTAATTATACCCAAATAAATATAAAAATTATTAATTTCATCACCCCAAAATCCATAAAAATATAAAGTACCATTAGCTTCATAAACCAATTAATACTAGTAAAGAAGCCAATAACATATAAAATAAATAAATGCCAGCCTGAACACATTCGGGCTGGTAATTGCATCCCAAGATAAAAAAAAAACGTAGGAAATAATCTATCTTAAAAAAATAAAAAAGATAATACATCAGTTCTTGAAAAATCTCATATTAATATTAATATTAAAAAACAATCATAAAAATAAATAAATTTTTATAATAATTATATTGATAAATAGAAATTCTTGTGATAATTATTAATCCACAAATCCAAAATCTTAATAAAATTAAACCATAAGATAATGAATCATATCGTAATATATAACTTAAACCTTCAATATTTCCACTTAAATTAACATATAACATAAGTAAAAAGCTATCAAAAAATATAAACTGAACCATTCACCAAAACACTCCATTTAAAAAAGAAAGAGGAATCATAAATATAAATATAATAATAAATTTTAACATTGCAACACCATAAAAGAGTGAAAATAATCATTCCCATGGGAACATACCATAGAAATTAAAATTCCCAATCCCAAAGAACCTTCACAAAGCGTAAATACTAAATAAATCGTAGAAAAAAAAATTCATATTGCATTTTTCCCAACCAAAATACTAATAAAAAAGTAAATAACACTATATACTCATTACCCAGCTCAATAAAATAATTAACATATGTTCATATGTTTTTGCATAGAACAATAAATCCAAATATCACTAAAATAGCACAACATTATCATTACTAGACAAAAAATGCAAACATTATGTTTTACTAGTTTAATATAAAACATTGGTCTTGTAAATCAAAATTAAAAATACCTTTTAAAACTTCAGAGAAAGAAATATTTTCATCTATCACCAATCCTCAAAATTAGTATTTTAATTAAACTTTTCTCTAATATCTATATACTTATATTCACCTTCATAATATTTACAATTTTTTTATTATAATATATCATCCCTTAGCCATTACCTTACTTATTATTCTACAAACACTAATAATTTGTCTTATTACTGGATCAATCTCCTATTCATTCATATTTTCCTACATTCTATTTATAATATTCCTAGGAGGAATATTAGTATTATTCATGTATATCACAAGACTAGCATTTAATGAAATATTTCCAATATTTCAATATTTTTGTATTAAAACCATAATAATCAACCAAACCATAATCATCTCATACTATCCACTATCATAATTTTTATAATTATTATAAAATATTCATATATTATAATTCCATTCATGTATCACATATTATCATTCCATTTATACAAAAATGATTCCTTTATAAACATAATTATTATTACCACAATAGAAAATAATGACTTCAATCAACTCTACTACTACCCAAATTTCCTTCTGAAAATAATTACTATTATTTATCTTTTAATAACATTAATTATTATTGTAAAAATTATCTCCCTTCAAGAAGGACAATTACGACATTCAAATTAATAAACTAATGAATAAACATTTACGAACAAATCAGCCATTATTTAAAATTATTAATAATTCACTAATTGCTTTTACAACCCCATCTAATATTTCTACATGGTGAAACTTTGGATCCCTATTAGGATTATGCTTAATTATTCAAATTATTGCAGGTATTTTCCTAGTTATACTGCAGAGATGTAAATTTTGGTTGACTTCTACAGACAATACATGCTAATGGAGCATCATTCTTCTTCATCTGCATTTATATTCTCGTAGGTTGTAGAATATATTACGGATCTTATAATTTAATACATACTTGAATATTTGGTTGGGGTGACAAGGGAATAATTTATGTAATTAATTATATATTATATAATTAATTACATAATCTTTATAAATACACTTAACTATGATGATTGGTTAATTGATCCTCTTATATGGAATAACGATAAAGATACCTTAGGGATAACAGCGTATTGTTTTTGGAGAGTTCATATTGATAATAAAGGTTGCAACCTGGATGTTGGATTAAGAAAATTGTTAGGTGCAGAAGCTTCCTATCTGAATCAGGTTTTTGTCCAGTTTCCCTGATCCATTGAGCAAATGGTGAGATGGCCCCTTGTTTTGCTTCTGGACGTAAATGTAGCTTCACTATGAGCACATTTTGTTGATTCCTCCTTTTACTTGTAATGGTAAGAGTATATGTAGGGCGAGTTGCTATATTGTTAGCAATGCAGAAAAATCATACTTGTAATTCGTGTACCATTGCAAATACGTTTTCTATAACTTGGAATCGAAAAAGTCTATTTTTTCAAATATTGCTAATCTTGCGATTTTTAAAATATATTTTTATTTATTTCCGTTAAACTTTCACTTATCTCTCAACTGTTTATAGTTAAAATGACGCGAAGGAATTCTGGAACTCAAGAAAATGGGAGCAGATTATCTCTTTCCCCCTATGTCACATACAGTTTTTACTGTTTTGCCATTAAATTCCTACATGATCAGACTTCAAACTGGTGTAAGCCAGGTTGGTTTCTATCTCTGTTTACGATATGTATTTTATTACAAAAGGATTAAATGCATTAAATAATTTATTATTTGGAAATATATATTGATTACTATTTTGGCAGAATTAAGTGAAATGAATTTAGAATTCATGAATGATATAATATTACCAATAATATTATTTAGTTATATAATGAGTTTAATTTCTTATGTTGTTTTAATTATTTTTGTATTGATTAGTGTGGCTTTTTTAACTTTATTGGAACATAGGGTTTTGGGTTATATCCAAATTCGAAAGGGTCCAAAAAATTTGGTATTATGGGTATTTCTCAACCCTTTGCTGATGCTTTTAAGTTGTTTTGTAGGGAGCAGACTTATCCTATGATGTCTAATTATTTAATGTATTTTTGTCCGGTTATTAGATTATTTTTATCTCTTTTGATTTGATTAATTTATCCTTTGGGGTATGCATTAATGTCGTGTGATTTGGCATTATTGTTTGTTTTGGTTCTATAATATTGGCTGGTTGATCATCTAATTCTAATTATGCTTTATTAGGTGGATTGCAGGCTGTTGTTTTAAATTGATTAGTTATATATTTGATTTGTTTTCTTAGTGTTTCTCTATTTTTTTGTTGGTTTTCTTCATGTTTAGCTGTGACTATTCGTACTGCTTTTGATTTTTCTGAAGGTGAATCAGAATTAGTATCAGGTTTCAATGTTGAATGTAGAAGAGATGGTTTTGCATTAATTTTTATAGTGGAATATTCAAGAATTTTAAAGAAGAAGTTCAAATCACTACTAATTCTCCTCATTACAACTTGTAAAATGGAGTGTTACATCGAGTTATGAGCTATTTATTTTCTTTAAGAATGTTTATTTATTAAAAAAGTAAAAAAAAAACAAACACTGTATCAATATTAGTGTAAAGGTCTCTTTCGCCGCATGAACTGTACAATTGAATCTGTACAATCGGCTAGGCCATGTGTCGAGATTCGTTTTTCTGGTGACTACACATGCTGTGTTTCAGTGATGGGGCAAGTTGCATTTCAAATAAAATGTTAAAATATGCAACAATAAAGAAGTTTCCCTAAAAATGTACTCAAATATGGGTAAATATGGAAAAATATTGATCATAAAATGTTTCAAAGCACTTCAAAAAGCCTCATCCTTGATTTTCTGAGATTGTTTGTAGACCTACTTCCTTGCTAAGAATCAGAAGTTCAGTGAGCATTTCTTGCAGTTCTCTGGATGAATTGGCAATTAAAATAATGTCATCCGCAAACATAAATATTGATAATTTTTATCGTCAATGTTAATTCCAAAATGATAGGGATCCCCTTGCTTTACTCTTCATCTCAAAGCCAATTCTCGATATTCAAGATCCATTTTAATTTTTTCTTGCCCTGATAAATATATTTTACCTCATAATAAGATGTATTTGTCATCTACTCGTATTGCTTTCAATGCTTTTAAGATACTCACTTGCTCTACAGAATCAAAGGCTTTTTCAATGTGTATGAAGGTGACCTACACTGGCAAGTTAAATTCTTGTTTTTTCTCTACTAGTTGGGTCATTGTACGTGGTCGAATGTATAGTAGCTAGCGCGAAAATTGCTTGTTCCTCCGCTTGATTTTTTTCAATTGTTTTGTTTAATCTTTTCGAAATTATTTTTGAAAGTATTTTGAAAATATTTGACATTACGCTAATCGACTGGTAGTTGTCAATATTTTTTTTGAACCCTTCTTGTAAAGTAGTATTATGGTATTCAATTTTCATTCTTCGGAAAATTCTTCTTGCAGCACTTTGTTGAAAATAATTGTTAGTGACAATGTTAGTTCTTCAATTCCAAATTTCAAATATTCACTTATTATACCATCATCTCATATTTATTTACATTTATTTGAGCGTATCTGTTTCAAAATATGTCTGACTTCTCCCGGTAAGATTTCTGGGATGTGTGAATTGTGTTTTAAACTTCCCGGGAATCTTCGATTAGTGCATGAAATTTTATCTTGTCGCTTGTGTAAAGATTTTCGTAGAATAGTTCGGCTCTTTCTATGGTTTTATGTCTTGATGGGGCAACAATGCCATCAGCTGTTATTGTCTGTGGGATCCATTTTTTTTTACCTAAGTTGTGCCAATTTAATTTGTTTCAGAGATTTGGTTGTGCACATTGTGATTTTCGCTGAGGTCTCTACTTCTTTCCGAAGGTCAAGCCTAATGCTTAATTTCTTAAGCTTGTTGATTTCTTCGTATTCGGTTTGTAGAGCCGTGTTTTGCCGTGTGTTGCCATCTTTGCTTAACTTTAGTTTTTGTCGAAGATCTAATTTTCTTGTGTTCTCACTTAATTTGTACCCTCTTCTTCTTGATTTGTCAGTGATAGATGACATTTTAGAAGAGGATTTTATACATTCTGCAAGTGTAGAATATTAGTTTTGTACTCTTGATGTTTCTGACAATTGGATTTTGTGGGGATAATATATAAATATTGGAAATTATTGACTTATATTTGGGCACATCTAGAAGATTAGAGTTTGAGATTAGAGTTCCATGAAAACTGCATTGCAAATAACTTCAACTTTCAACTTCCAAAATTTCAGAATGTGCTTAAGTTACGTGACACCTGTACACCAATATGATGACTTAAACCATTTGTTTTAGGCAGTATATCTGTTATTTGATAAATGACAAATTATTTCCAGAGAGTCGCGTTCTCTCCACTGCTTCATGGTTTCTACACTGCGAAATGAGATCATAAATATAGATCTTGTTGGATTTATCTATATCTGGAAATAGTTACTACAACCTGAAAATTGTTCTCTCACTTTCACGACGTACTCTTTTCTATCTACAGGTGTCCAGAAGTTCCGTCTAAAATGACTAAAAATATCCTAGAATCTATGCTGAACTCATGAGCAATGGCAAATTTAGTTTTCCGAAAATCGACAAAACTTGAGTTTAAATGTTCCTTCCGCCCACGAAATTCGAACCGGCTGGTAGCAATAAACGATGAACAGAAACGAGCCGTATGTAAATAAACCGAATTTCTAAAATTCTCGAATTATTGGAAAGCTCAAAATATTATTTTTAGCATATCTTTAGTGGCTTAGGCTTTAGATATCCTGGAGGGAGGGAGATGAGGTCTTCCTTTCTTCACTTCCTCCAAACTCCTGGCACAGATTGTGCATTGCGGCTCGGACCTTTATTCAAACATACCCTGGAATTACCTCCCGTAAATATGAGTGAGATAATTCCCGTTTTTTCATGTGTTTCACTTACCATCCAATTTATCGATTCTCTCACGGCTTAACTGTTAATTGGAGAAAATAATCTTAATGGCATTGCTTTCTCTTATTTTATACCATGGACTCCGGGGTAAAGTTGGATGAATTACAAACAACCTATCCATATATTACTTTTGACTATGTTTATGAAAAACGGGAAGTGATGGTAAATTGTCTGAATAATAATTTTATTTGTAATGGTTCATGTTGTCTAAGTATAATTATTGTTTTTTGTTTGTATAGAATAAATACGTAATACCTGAAGTAAAATTGAAAGAAATAGGATTCGAAATTTTGTAGTAAGAAAATTGAGGAAGAATAAACTCTCTGTGTTGTTCAAAAAAGTCATCCGTTTAAACGCTATAAATCTTGAAACAGGGGACGTGTTTCTTTGTAAGAAATGTATTCCTCGCACTGTGGATTATGAACTTCACCGGCAAAGCAAACCTCACACGGGACGGAAGGCCACGGCGGGCACCACCCACACGTATTTAGGTAAATGCTTATGTAATTCTTTAACGGACTGATAAAATAAAAGTAAACGATCAATTCGCTTTTAAAAGTCATAGCTCGGCAATCAATTTTGATTGCAGGCTATGGCAAAATTCTTTAATAACGTTAACATGCTCGTAACTTTAATAACATTAACATTAACTTTAATACCTTTAACAACTGTCACGTGATTAACAGGATATGAACACATACAACACATTAAATAATTCCTACACTTTAAGAACAAATATGATTGGCAAAAAAACTAAATACAATTATATAACATAACAACAAAAACAGTTCATTAACATATTATCACTAGATGGAAGGCTCCTCGCTGATTTGCAACATCGATCCACGCGCCGGGCGGCGTTATCCGATCTTCCATTTAATTACCTGCAGGAAGAATACAACAGTGTATATAAATGCATAATAAACACTAAAGTAAATGCACAGAACTGTTGCAGCCATTTTCAGAGTATGTTTAAAATTAAGGTGATTTAAACGCGGAAAAATGGTGAAAATAGGTTTTTATGCTCTTAAGTACAGCTTTGGCTGTTAAATTTTTTTTAGAGGAACCACGCCTCATTTCTCGAAAAGGGGCGCGGTTTACTAACGCACGGCTACACACACACACACACACACACATATATATATAT